AAAGAAAGAAAGAAAGAAAGAAAGAAAGAAAGAAAGAAAGAAAGAAAAAGAAAGATGGGTCCCAAGTTATAAACTGATAGTTCCAAAGCTGATGTGGAATTTGGAAGCATCAGAGATGATGGCTCAACAGTAGTATTAATATGTTGTTTGAAGAAAAGATTCTTGATCTTAATCATAGTTAAGTGATTTGTATACAGTGTTACAAAATAAATGACAACCTGATGAAAGCCATCTATTTAGACTGCCAAATATAAAGTTGCTTGAAAGAGATAAATAAACGGCCAGGCAATGTTGGTAGAAGCCAAACTTTGCTATGAGTTGCAAACAGCAGATAAAAATCAGAATTTTATGAAATGGCTCTTCATCAGAGTGGAAAGAAACATCTTAAAGGAAAACTCAAAGTGCTCTGTGTTGTTTTAATGTATTTTATTTGAAGAAGCAAGATGTTAACACCACTATGTTTGTTCTATTAACATCAATATTCAAAACTAATAGATTCCAGATGGGATGAGTTGGCGCTTTGGGGAGATGGAACAGGTGGCCTTCTGGAGGTTGCCAAATGACAAGTCTTAGCAGCAGCTCCAGCCAATAGGGATGGTGGTGAGGGATGCTGGGAGCTGTTAATGTCATGAATGTTGAGGACCAAAGTCTCCTGGTCCAGCGTTATCAATGTGTAGTACCGAGAAAGATGAAATGTAATGAAATAGGGAAATGATTATCCTAATATGGGACATATCCACAGGCAATAACTTGTAAGGTATAAAAGGTATTCAATTACTAATGAATAACTGCTAGAATAACTGCTTTCTTAGTCATGGTAGTCTAGGTTATGGAGACAAAAAGCATTTCCTATGTATTGGTTTGTTCTGAAAAGAAAAGGAAGAATGTCTTAAACTCTCGGTTGCTTTGGGGATTGAATATGATTCCAGATTCTTTCTATCCATGAAAGAAGATCAGGTACAGCTTCAAAATCTGATTAGCTAATCAGAGTGACAGAAAACTAGTCTAAACCACATGAATCATGATGTCACACTACCTACGCATTTCTAAGAAGAAAATATAAATATGGGCAGCAGTACTCAAGTTCTTGGGTCATAGGTGCAACTAGTTTTTCCAGAACCAGTGGAATACAATCTTCACTGTCAGGCCAGTCCAACAGGTTTTACCGAAAGTGAGGAGATTATATATGGATTCAACCTCCATGAACCTCTGGAATTGAAGTTTGGCCAGTCTCTTTTCCAATTTTTTTCCAAATAGTCTTTTTTGTTTTCATGTGTAAATTTAGATATGTGTACATATTCTTCCTCCTCCTACAGCTACAAACTGAGAATGTGCAGTAAATGTTAATGTGGCATCCTTATAGTTAATAAACATGGACTCTTATTCTGGAAAAATCTTTATGCACAACCCCGTGGATATGGTCACATGTTCTACCTGTCAAATTGTTTTCTTACCCAGCCAATCCTGGAAGATTATACAGCAGATTGCAGTTTTCTCACATGGTTGTTGTTTTGGGGAAACTATGAGGTGAAAGGAGGAGTATTATATATGTTTGCAGTCCTGAGTTATTTATAAAACAAATATTAAAGATGGGGTAGAAAAAAATATAATAAATAATTCTGAAGAGTCACTAATAGATAAAACCAGATTTTCAATTCAGTTACCCACATCTGAAACAGTGTGACGAATCTTAAAATCACAACTTTCTGGTTTTATAAATGTGTACAGCTTTGTAATAATCATGATCAATCACTAACTCTGACTCAAAAGTAAAAACTCATGCAGATTATATTTTATAATGTTTAAGAGCCTTGGACTTGTTTGAAGGCGGTTCATTTTCATTCAGTAACATAGCAATGCTGAATCCCACATCTCAGTTATTCTAATTCCAGTAGATTGCCATTCTCTCAGAAGTGACTTGAACATCATTTCCCATAATTCAGTGTCCATTGCTGAGCAGGACATGGATGTGCAGGTAATTTGCCACAAACCATTACCGTAATTCCTTCACTTGAGCATGGATGAAGTTGAAGCATCCATGAAGATGAGGAGAAGGAGGTAGGGGTGGTGATGGCATTGATGGTATGCACTGAATATAATTGTTGTTCGTACTGGCTAGATTTCTTTCATCAAGGCAGCCCAGCTCTATGTATCATTGCAACCCAAACTGCACCTTGCCTCAGAATCCTTTGCATTTTTGTCTAACAAAGTGAGAAATGATGCATAAGAACCTTGGCTTTGAATAACAGGCCCTTCGTGGCCTGCTTTGCTAACTGCAGAATCCAAACTGCACCACAGTTTTCCATATTAAAAAGCAGCTCAGAATGTAGGGACCTTACCCAAGGGACCAATTGAACTGTAATGCCTTTTTCAACTGGATTTATGATCAATTGAGTGAATTGACATAACCTTCAGTTTGCTGAGGGTTTTGGGACTGCAATCTGCCTTGACAAGCTAATCTGAGTAATATACATACAGCCTCCTAATTTCTAACATTCCCCACATTGTGTGCCTGTCACTTGAACAATCCTCTGTATTCAGGCCAGCAGGGTACCATATTGAAGGGGATGATCACTTTGAAGGGCCACAGTAGAAGGACACTTTGGGTGGTAATCAAAATCCAAAAAAAATAATTTCTGAATGCTAAAACCTTTGTGAGTCTTGTCAATCATTTGCAACTGTGAAAGTTGCAAATTGCTGGTGTCTAGAAAAGAATGGCACATTAACCAAAAATTGTGTAAAACAAATTTTCAATGCATGATGCATCAACGCAAACAAGTAATGCCTTCTCATAAACGTTTCAGTAAGACTGAACAAAAGTAAACAAGGTTTCTAGTTGTTTTCTTAACCAAGTCACGTTTAGCAGTCTGTCCCAGGGGTGGGTTGCTACCGGTTTGGTCCGGTTCTATAGAACAGGTAGCTCTGAAGAGCAGCAGACACCAAACCAGTTCGCTGCGACGACTTTTTGATTGTCAGTTTGGCTCAGGCGCCTGCCTGGGCTCTTGGCTGTCCTTTACTTCCTGCTTTTTCAATCTCAGCTGCTTTGCGCAGCACAGCTGAGGTTGAAAAAGCAGGAAAGGAGAGGATTTTCAAATGCTGCGCACCCACGTGCAGCACTTGTCAGCTGTCAGTACAGCTGATTTTTTTTGCAAATGCTGTACAGGCACACACAGCAAAACACACTCTCATCAAACCAGTAGTAACACCAGTTGAATGCCACCCCTGGTTTGGCCTAATGGTAATGAGTACTGGTCATTATTCACACATCTGGGCAGTTTTGCCAAGTGCAAGTTAAGTCCATTTCCACCAACATGGTCATGCTGTTTTATGTAAGCTAGGATGATTGAACTGTAGACTACCTGCAAGCCAACATACAGTCGGCTGCATCCCATTGATCAGGAGGTATATGCAATGCATTCATATCCTCCCAGGCCACGGTTAATTTGTTTAATGTATGTGTTAAATTTATTTGTTAATAGCTTCATTATAAATTATAGTTAATTTTATACCAATTTCTCTCCTCTCCTTGACCCAATTTCCCTCTTATAATGCCCCCCCCCCTTCTGTTATTAACTGATCTTTTATCTGGAATTTACTAATGGCTATGTTGGTATAACATCTGAAAAACAAAATATTGTTGCGTGTGTGGCATGGTTACGATGTTAAGGTTAAGACAAGCAATAAACACATCACTAATAATCATATTTAGCCTAAAACGGGATTTGTTTTCTTCTTCCCAGTTTTTTTCTGTCCCAGATGTAGCATTAATGGGTGAGGAACATCCTAAAAAGCCGTTTTCTACCACGAAGGATGCTTCTGATCCCTTTGAAATAGTCCAAGTAAAGCTATGAAAAGCTTGTGTGCTCTTGCCTAATTATCTGATTCAGAAAGCATCGTTCAACTGTAACAGAACCACCAGGGATTGATATTATAGACACCCTAAACTTAACCCCTTCAGGAATAATTTGACCCCCTCAATATTACCAAAACATTTTAAGCCTGCATGCACAAAGGTTAAAATTGAGATATGCCTCGCCTTAACATGTTAACAACGTCAATTAATCCAATGTGGATCTCAGCTTCTGACCAAGAAGGAGAAAGTCACTTTGACACTGGTACATGTCTGAACTCGTACAGACCTCCAATCCTGAACTGTATTTCTAAATCTTAGGCTTACAAATTTGTTTTCGCAATTATTGATGGAGTAAGGGACAGATGAAGGATGAACAGCATGGGCTTGATGTGAGTAACTAGAGGGTGATTAGACTTTTTGACTGAAACCAGCCCAAAACTGTATATTTAACAAAATCTGCTTTAAGATGATAAATTTCAAGGTTTTGCCCCTTTTATCTACATTTTAAAACCATTTGGACTTTTTCTTAATTCTGTTTTAATTATTAAGTTATTTATGTATTATTAATAATTAAATATTAATTATTATTAATAATTAAATAATAATTCATTATTAATAATTAAATAATTTTTTAATTATTCCTATCTTTTTCTTCACATTATTAAGCATTCTATAACATTATCTTAGATTCAAAGAGAAACAAATACAGCTAAATGAGACAAATGTGAGTGTGAATTAATTAAGCGATTTAACCCCCTCCGAGATAAACTTAAGAAATTGACATATCCCAGTGGTGTCCTTCACTTTTTTTATTTCAACATCAAAGCTGAGAAAATCTTGACAGATCAGGTATCCTGCTGATTTTTTTAAAAGCTGTTTTTAACATTCTTTCAAATGTGCAAAAAAAAGAAACAAAAAAAGGATTAAACCTTTTTTTTTCATTTAACAAAGCAACTCTAACAAAACAGATACACCAATTATGATATTATGTGCTTTAGCAAAAAGAGCAGAATAATTCAACAAATACATTATGGCACATGAGCCTCATAATAAAGGGAAAACTTTACAATGAAAAGGTAATGTAGTGCACAAAGCTTCGTTTTAAAAAAAGTATAATAATGTGGCATAAAGTAGCCTGTTGGGTTTATTTTCTAACTAGAATCTTTTGACTATTGATATTTATCATAATCCAGCGGGCACTTCAAGACTGCGGAGCAAACGGCTTTGTTTTAAAAGGTGCATTGCAGAATAACATTCCTACTAAAGACAGATTGGCAGCATGGCAGCATATAAATTCAGGCACATTTGAATGCAAAACAAATAGGTTCATTACAAAAAATCTTTCCAGGACAGTGCAAAATTGTAAAGTCCCTCAGAAGGCAACAATTGTTTACAGAACATCATTCAAGACCGAAATACATCCAGAATTGAATTAAAATGAGAGAATGCACCAATGACAGGAAAAAGGGGTTTGAGCATCAAAAGTATTTTTGGTACCTCCAAGGTTTATAGGACAATTACACTTCAACAATGTTAGGCTGATAGCTTAAAAGCATTGCATGAAGTTCAGATCTTGACTAGTGCTCACTTCAGATCTGAAGGATCACGTTACAAAGCCACAGTGCGTTTGAAAAGAGCTTTCAGAAGAGCGAGCTTTGATTCATTTGACTGATTCTGCAAAAAGAAAAAGAAAAGCTTGAGATCCAAAAGTCCATGGGCTGAACAGTTGGCTTCTAACTTAGTGTTAAAAGCAATAGCATTAAGAACATGTGTATAAAATGAAGGCTCAGATTCACACCAAAACATAGCAAACACTAGCATCAATATCCAGCAAGAGTTGTGCATAGAACCACTGTGTGAATGAAGACATACTTTGCAATGTTTATTTAGGTGCCTTTTAAACCAGATGGATGCACTGTTTGATGTAAATAGGAATGCCCATTTCAGTTCAGGGTGATTAATAAGGCTGTGAGATATATATATGTTCGAGCACAATACAGAAGCCTGATGATGGTGCTGAATCAATCATTTGATTGTCAGGGCAAGAAGGGTATGGCAATTTGGTGGTGTCCACTTTCTGTAATTATAGCAACATGACTGATTTTATCAATTTTATCAATCATGTCTCACAATGATTGCAAAATCCTCAATGTGAGGGTCTCACATTGAGCCCTCACAATGATTGCATTTTTTTCACAGAGAAGCAGAGGCTTTGTTGTATAGGGTTATCAGATAGCTGAATGGGGACAAATAAGGGAAAGGATGTCACATTGTTTCACTTTCAAGGCATCTGTGACAAAAATTGCAGGGCGGGGGGCAACCCAAAAGCTTAAGCCTGCGTGTACAAGTATATGAAAATAATCTTCCAACATCAGAAAGACTTGTTTTATCAATTGCAGAATGTGCTAGAGCCGGGGTGTCAAACTTGCGTCTTCGCAGCAGCATCATGTGACATATCGGGACTTTCCCCCCTTCACTAAACCATTTGGGGCGTGGATAGCATGTGACACATCTGGCCTGAGGGCCATGAATTTGACAGCCCTCTGCTAGAGGCATGTAACTGTTTAAGGTCTTGTCAGTTTCAGATAGTAGCCAAGCCAGCAGAAGGGTATTAATCAAGGTCACAGTGTGGAGCTTATTAACTTGGTGTTAACACTCATTAGGGGAGTGCTCCGATCTGGAGAGAAGCTGCTCAGAAATTGATAGCTTGTAGATACTCAAAAAGCCAACAACATTTGATTTGTAAGGCTGTGCCTGCCAGGCAGAGGACCTGGTAATCTTATATTTGTACTCTTGTTCCAGAGCTGCTTGGTGTGTCCATCTTTCTCCTGGCTATCAAAACAACACAAAAGGTGAATGTTTCTTAGCTGGAGCTTAAGAGGACAATCATGGGAGGGGCTGCCTTATTTGCACAAAACATAGGGCAATTTTATCTCAAGGACTTAAAGAGCAGTAGAATCCCGAGCTTTCTACAGCTATGGGATTGCAGCTGTTAATTTGTGTTCTCACGCCATTTTCCTCTCACTGAGATTCCTTCGTGGTGAAGAATTTCTCAATAGTCCCCAAAATTACAGATTCATATGTGGCTGGAAAAGCAGAATGGCTGTTGCCATTTCACTGAAGGGCACAATTCTTCAACTAAGTCTCTTCACCCAGCAGTCAGTGATCAATCTATTTATAGATGTGTTGTGAGTAATGAGAACTTGACCAGAGGGGCTAAGTACATCTTGCAGTGCCCCAAAAGAGGATGGCTGGAAGCAGTGGAGATGGTTGGCAAGAAATCGGCCTGAGCTAGAATCCATAATGGCACTCAAATTTTAAAAAAAAGTTTTGCACACAGAAAAATCGTCCTTATAAAATCCCAAATAAAAATTTACAGCTCCCTCTTTTCTTCTTCGAGCCTCTAAATCAGAGGTGTCTGACTTTGGCAACTTTAAGACTTGTGGACTTCAACTCCCAGAATTCCCCAGCCAGCAAGGTCGGTTACAAACCTATATTTGCCTGCTATTAGGAACCCGTTTGAGGCAATGATCTTTGGATGTGGTCAAAAAACTAAAAGCATTAGCTGCCATGAAAGTCCTTTGTTGAAGGACAAGGTTTTTTGTGTGTGTTTACTCCTAGACCAAGTGAAGACTCTCTTATCTCTCAGGAATATAAAATTTGATATGCAGTAATGATTTTTAACAATCGCTAAGCCTTAGGCACACATGATTGCATATGAGAAAAGATAGCTGAAAATGGTTTTTCCCCCCTGTGGTTTTGTTGTATTTTAACCTGTCGACTGGTTATATAGAAGAGCTACATTCAGTTGTCTGATAGGTGAGCTTTGCATGTGTGTATTATATGCACAGAAACACACACACTGCATTCAGTAAGGTGCTTTCAACAAACAATAGCAATAAGGATAATACAATGCTTCCAGCAAACTAACAATAATGACAACTAGATATTTTTCTTACATTTCACACATTTAACAAAAGCAGTTTCAATTCTCAAGCTGGACCTGTCCCAGGTATGCTGGCATTAAAGCTAAAGGCCTGTTCCCATCCCTTGCCATCTCTGGCTTTATTATTTGCATCCCTTATTTGCCTGTTACTGTAATTTGTCAAGACAAAATCATGGTTTCTGGTTAGGAAAATGAATGTAGTGTACATTACTTAAATAGACTGAGACCAATTTTAATCATTTGCATTGTATGAGGATAGATAGAAACTGAGTTACGGTTATGCATATCTACTCAGAAGTCTACTCAATTGGCATACAAAGGACCTATTGAGGTCCTGTACTTGAAATGTTCACCATTCACTGGGATGGGGAGGAAAGCTTCCAAGCATTCTTTGTAGGTCTTAGATGGAAGTTCCAATCCAGCAGAAGTGAATGGGAAAAACAACCACCACCAAAGCAACAAATACAATGAAACCTTTCTACCCTTAGGGAACCAGTAGAAAAATAGCAAAAGTGTTTTCCCTTATAAAAATAGAAATACTGAATTATATTACTGTAGCCTGATCCTATGCTTATCTATTCAAAAGTATGTCCAACTACATTCTATGGGGCTGAACTCCCAGTTAAAAATATCTTAGATTTGCAGTAAACAGCTGGGTACAAATGACTAAAATTTTCTTTCTTTAATTATGGCCCTACAAGAACTCTTTTTGTTGTTAATATATCATGCAATATATTACAATATAGTATGAATTATGTAATATATTGTATATACAGCATATATACAGTGTGGGCATTTTTGTCTTATTTCAAAGGATACCTCTGTATTCATATTTGGCAAGGCACTTCATATCAAATGTCAAAATAGGACCATTGATTTTTGTTCTTTTTATGTTTTGAAAATAGGTTCTTTATGGTATTAATAAAAAACAAGGCCACTAGCAACCAAGCTCAGGCTACTAGTTTTGGTGGGAGCACTGTAAAAAAACAGAGGAGATCCACAACATTTAGGCATGTATTTGGAGAGGGAATACATTTTAACAAAAGTGGTTGCTGCCGATCATCTGTAGATTTTGATCTGCCCTGTCCTGGATGTGTGCACCTTGCCTTGGAAGGAGTCAATATGTGCAGGACCCAAAGGATAGGATGTGATCTCAGTTGCAGTGCACAACTTTCTTGTCCTTTCTTCATTGTTCTCTCACCACTGGTTGTGGCTCAACATAAAGCTGTTTTGTGTATGGAGATTCTCAGTCATCTAGCTCAGAGGTCTCCAACCTTGGCAACTTTAAGACTTGTGGACTTTCTGGGAGTTGAAATCCACAAGTCTTAAAGTCACCAAGGTTAGAGACCCCTGATCTAGGTCATGTTTGTCCCAAAGGTGCTTTTTCTTTAAGAGGCAACTGGACTTTCTGATTCTTCTTTGAAGACGTTTCACTTCTCATCCAAGAAGTTTCTTTGGCTCTGACTGGATGGTGGGGAATGGAAGGATTCATCTGAGAAGCCAAACATCTTCAAAGAAAAACCAGAAAGTCCAGTTGCCTCTTGAGAAAGCATCTTTGGGACTCTGTTGCTTTGGCAGATATTAGGGAGTATCACATGCAAATGCAGGACCTTGCTCAAGAAGACAGGTGATTTTTCCTACTGTGGAGCGCTGATTGTATTAAATAGACCTGGGATTTTCTGAAAGTTAATTTCAGATTCCACCATGTGCAGGTGCAACTCTCCCACAAAGTTACCTTCAGTGGAAAGCAAGCAAGTAGAATGGGCAGACTATTCCATTCCTGGCGGTTGGCAGTTTATATGTGATCTGTCACTTAAGTTATGAATTAGATGGTATAATATGTACAACTGATCAATTATATTTTCAGCCGGAGATCCTTGGGTGATTCACAATTAATTGATACAATTTCATACTTTAATCAGGCTATGGTCTATTAGTAATGGTCAGCACCAAAATTCACCCTCAGACGGATATGGGGAGAAATCTGTAACATTTGGACCCTCATTGTGAATTTAGCGGGCCGATGAATTGAATTATGTCAGTTTTTTTAAAATGATAATATGAATTTTCAGTCCACCTGTTTATCTTTACTATGGAAACCCTGTAGGGCTGAGTCAGCCCCCTTGGAGATACCACAAAAGTTTAGCTTAATCTCACAGTTATTTTAAGTTATTTTAAGTTAACTGAGGGGCTTTTTTCCTGAACTAAACTGGAGCAGCCTACAAAGTTTGAGAGGATAGATTAACCTATTTGAATATTGTATATGTATCACTGAAAGGAATGAATCCCAACAGAAACATCTTAAATTCATATTTTCCCTTCTGCTTTCTCTTAGTTTTTTTTAATGGGAGTCTAACAGAATCTTAGTCCTTAACCACCATTGCTTTGTATACTGTATCTGGGTGGTGTACTTTTCTTGTATCCACCAGACAGCCAATAAAAATTACATGTAAACATCACCTACTCAACTCAGCTGGGATTTTTGCCCAATTGATTTAAAGATGAAAGATCGTCCAACTTCTCTATATGATACCAGCAAACAGAGTACAGGAATCCTTAAGCTTGTGTCTTGCTAACACAAACACACTTTTTTTTTAAATGAAACCACCTATTATGTCCAAAGTTATGAATGTTTTGCCATTAATGAAGTTGACCGTCATTGTTTTGGGACTCACTGGTGATTGTTGAGTATTGGAGTGCTTAGACATGGTCCCAGTTCATCTAAGCCCGGTGTTTTTTTTTTGATGAGATGCTCAGAATCCTGTAGGCTGTTTGCAATCTGATTTCAGACTGCTTCTTGCACAGGTTCTTCTTCCTGTTTGTTCACATAGCAAGGTGGTAAGGAATGCACTGAAGCAGGTGCCACGGCCAGCTGGTTTGAAATCTCCTCTTCATTGTGAGGTGTGTTCCTAGTGGCAGGAGCATGCAGGCGGTGAGCATCCAGCATTTCCAGCAATAAATCGTAAAGTGGGACCACGTTCTTGCACTTCATGCTATACAGGTGCTCCATCCCTTTATTGCTAGAGGTTCGCATAAAAATAAAATTAAATACAATTATCCCAAGAGATTCCAAGTTTGACTCTACTATTGCTTGGGGATTTGTTTTGAATGATGCAAAGCATGTTCAAATATAGCGATGCCTGTCTAAGTGGAGCAGTAAAACAAAGATTCTGGACTATACTGGAAAAGCCGAAAGCTGACTATGGAGAATTTATGCATGTAATTAATTAAATTTAGGGTCCACCCAATTCCGGATTATTTTGTGTGGCTTACAGTTTAAAGAAGGAAAAAGAATCATGCACGTTCTGGAAAAAAAAATACAAAATCAAACACCCAGTAGGGGCTCAACACACACCTTCCCCAAAACTTGGGAGAATAACAGGAATTCAAAGACTTCTGGAATTCACTGGGGAGAGAACTGTACAAATTTCAGCGGAGGGAGATAGTATTCCAGAGAGAAGGCATCAGGCCAAAGGAGTCATCTGCAACTCTCAGATTAACACCCCGTTTTAGGAACAATGGTACTATAGCACTTTTTAAAACAAACACAGACTTTTCTAAACCCATTTGACCTTTACAGTGCATTTGAAACTACTTGGGCATTGTATAATGGATGGATCTGGAATGAATGAAAAACTGAAAACATACAACAAACAAAAGAATGCAACGACAGAAGTGTAACATGAAATACATTTGGCTGTCATAATAAAATTAGCACATTTACCATTGCACTATCTGAAGTAACTGAGGTCAAGCCCATATACACCTTGAGAACATCATCTGACCCACCTCCCTTTGCCATTTGCAACATACATGAATGCTGAAGTTTAAATGATTTCCAGCATTCTAGCGGCTCTCAGGGGATTTTAAACATTGGCAGACTTTACCTTGGACTGTCAGTTTCTTATGACTCTTATCATTCCCTTAACTTTAACCATGATAGCACATTTCAGGAAAGGGTCTCTTTTACACAGAAGACAACACTAAGCAGCCATGTGCTAAAGGCCTCTGGGTAACCACTCACCTCATGTGCCTGAAGTGGGAAAGGATGAGGAGGAGCTGAGCCAAGCGCCTATGTTGCTGCTGTTGGGAAAGGCCAGATTTGGCCATTAAATGCATCAAGGTGTCAGTAATCTTATCTAGAACATGGTGGATATGTTCTTTTTCCTCCAGGGATTTCAAGGTGCTAGAAAGAAATGTGTATATCCCTGTGGGAGGAGAAGAGACGGGTGGAGGGGAGGGAAGAGGAGAGGAGAGGAGAGGAGAAAAAAAGAGGGGAGGGGAAGGAGAGGAGAGAAGGCCTAGCATTATCAGTATATTATAGCAGGTTTATTGATTAGTCTAATGAACATACCATATAAAACAATGTGATATAAAAACATTCATTTTATATCATATCATATATAACATCATATAAAATAATATGGTGATATAAAAATATTCATTTAAACAATCAGATAAGAGCATCCCTTAGTAAGCTGATCACAATCAGATCGAGATAGATAACTCTGAATTGAATGGCTTTAGCTTATAAATGTGGCAGTCTTTCTTACTACCCATGTATTTGAACCTTGGGGGAAGTATGATAAGATTTTTGATGGGGTCCCAATGGGCAGTCTGGTCAATTAGCAACTTTAAATGCTGTTCTATAAATGCTGAAATGTAATTTTGTATACATGTATCTGAGAGTAAGGTCCGCAAAAGTCAATGAGTTATCCTTCTCAATAGGAAGAATGCGACAAATGTTCAGCGCAACCTTCCTCAACCTGGTGCCTTCCAGATGAGAATGGGATAACAGTTTCTGAAGTTCTGGAAGTCCGAATCCAAACATATCTGGAGGGCACCAGCTTAGAGAAAACTTTCTCAAACTCTCAGTGAGCTAAATAAATGAAAACAAAACATAAAACAAACTTGAAAAATTGCTTTAACACTTACAAATATTATACAAAAATAATATAATTTGAATGGAGGTTTTGGTTCTGACATATACGTATACAATAGAAGAAAATAGCTGCATGGCTGCTAGCAAGCCTAAACGTTTTGTGGTAAGGTGTGTTCATTCGTTTGCTTGCTTTCTATAGCTGCCCATCTTAGTAAATGACTCTGGGAGGCTTAAAATGCAAAGATGGCATAATCTTTAAAGAGCTCCATGTGAAAGAACATCCTTATGTGATCTACTGGTATGACAGACTAACATACTGAATCACAAATGATCAGCCTATGGCTCAACAAAATGAATAAATCGTGATTAAGTTAATCATAGGTTTCTGTATCACGATGGCCATTATGGTAAGAAAGCACTCTCTCAGAGATAGCCATGTTTGAAACAACAAGCCTTTTATTCAGAGAAGAAGAAAAAAGGAACAGAAAGAAAAGAGAGAACCTAACACAAACATTGATCAATCTCACAATAAGAAAGTCACATTGTCACAGGCTACATGCTCCTTTATCAGATCATCAGTATTCTGGCTATATAGCTCAGAATTTGCAGCTGGGTGCTTGGACTACAAGCTGAAACACATTATCTCCAGATAATTCCTATAAAAGTCAGTCTGTCGCTTTCACAATATAGGAGGGAACAGATTAGAAGCCAAGTTCTTAGTGTCATCAGTCTAAGTGCTGAGTATGTGCATGTTCTTTTTTTTTATTTCTCTTCTTCTCGAAAGCAAACAATTTGAAATATACATAAAATTGGGTCTTCAGTTTAATTTTCTGACCTTATTTCCTGGTTTCAGAAGCTCCATTCCAAAGAAAGTTACTTATGTGGTCAAGTGCAAAGAACACCCTACTGGAGATCTAAATCTAGTACAAAATACAATAATTGTAAGGCTTCTAAATAAAATCAAAGTACTTATTTTGGGCTGAGACTCTTGCCTATCGCTATAAGCTATGGCACTCAGAAGAGTCCAATGTTATGTTGCAGAGTTGCTTTAAAATGAGATGGGAAGCAAATACATTAAATATGACATTTTATTTTTTTATGAAAAATATAATTTTATGTAATTAAATGGGCAATATTTATGCACAATGATCAACATCATGTTTGTTACTGAAATGACATCTTGATTATGCTCATATATCAATGTTGTCTAAATACCTGGAGAAATTCCACCGGTGGTGTCTTGAAGGTATGTGTAAAAATCTGCTATATACAGTTCGGGATCCACCACATTTAACCCATTTTAACATCAGCATGTTTGCCAGATCTCTTCCCTCTCTCTTTCCTCAATTTTTAGTTGGACAGGACAGAACAAGTCAAAATGCATAGATGGTGAATTGTACTGACCTTCACAAGATATTAATTGTATAGATCTGTAAAGTTTTTTCACTTGGGACTGTGAGAGGTTGCATTATGGACATTTAAGATACAGTAATTTATGATTCTCACTAAATTATATTAGTAGGTTGTACTATATTTTTAAAAATTATAAATTGCTTTTAACTGTCATTTATTTTAATTGGAAATAGAGTGTGTTCACTTTGGGACTGTTCTTCAATAGAAAGTAAATACATTATGCATTATATATGATCATTGTATGTTGGATTTAATCCTGCCTTTTCTTTATTTTTATTTTTTTAAGTTTTTATTTTTTTAAGACAAACATATACAAACAAAACATAAAAACATAAAAACCATCTTCCATCTTATATACATACATCCTGCCTTTTCTTTATGAGTTTACATTAATAATATAATATGTAGCCTGGCTCTAAGGTAATTTAACTGCAGTGGTACTATGTTGCTTTTGATTGCCATAGTCAGATATAGCCATTCAAAGTTCATTTTCTGCCTTTTGCTCTTGATTTTCTTAATCACAATAACTGCTGTGAACGCTGTCTTGTCTTCTAACAAATCTTCCTCTTCAGGTAGTTTCTAAAATAAAGTATGCTTCACAGTGCTATATCTTGTTCTTATTTAACATTAATGTTGCTATCCTATTTTGTATATATTAATGGTAGTTTTGTTTTGCTTTCTGCAAAACAGAAGCACTTTCTGCATTATCTGTTCAGAATGCTGATGCCACAATAACTTGTGTTTTTGGTTGCTTTGACTACAGCAGCTTCAATCCACGGAGAGTAAGCTAATGAGAATAAAATGTCATTCAACAAAAATGAATAACATGTTACACCGTAAGCACCTAACATCAAAGTGTTAGTTGTAAACAACAAGGGCCAGTTACTGTCCTAATAAGATGGACTTGGAGGTAAGAATGCACTATGGGAGTCCCTCTGGATTTTACTCCACCAGTTGTTGTCCCATAGGGGATGGTGCTTATTTCCATTTCAAGATCATTGAGTCAGCGCTGTCCGAAGACATTACTGCAGTCATGTGGGCCAGCATGACATCATACAATACTGTTACCTTCCCACCAAAGTGGTACCTATTTATCTACTCGCATTTGCATGCTTTCAAACTGCTAGGTTGGCAAGAGCAGGGGCTGGGACAGGAGTTTACCCCGTTGCATGGCACTTGGGTCTCAAACCTGGGCTGCCTGCTTTCCAGCTGACAAGCCCAGTGTCTTAACTGCTAGCCACCATGCCGCCCCAAGAATGCACTGTACAGAACAGATTTTTTTGACTATTGTTATTCTAGAACAAGATGGTTTTGGAAAACATTGTCTTAACTCTAAAGACAAGTCACTGTACTAACAACAATCAAAGAACTACACAGAATAAAAATATTTTCTTCCTGCAGTTGTTTCTATGGAATTTCCTATTTTGTTCAGAACAGCCCAAAGATGTACATTGAGTTTCATGGAGCATGGGTGGCAGTGGGGAAGAGGAGAGAAAAACTTGCCATTCTTGAACACCTGAACTACAGTAGCCACTGTCCATGCTACTATGTCAAAGGCGAACCACAAATAAGACTAACATCTTAGAAATTCCTTTGCTCTCTTTCACACCTCAGATAACCTCCTCAGGCATATGCAGATAGTCCTTGACTTACAACCATTCATTTAGTGACTCTTTGAAGTTACAACAGCAGTGAAAAAAGTGACTTATGACCATTTTTCACACTTATGACCACCGCAGCATCCCATCCCATGGTCACATGATCAAAAACTTGAATGTTTGGCAACTGGATCATATTAATGATGGTTGCAGTGTCCCAGGGTCATGTGGTCACCTTTAGTGACCTTCTGACAAACAAAGACAATGGGGAAGCCAGATTAATTTAATAGCCCTGTTACTAACTTAACAGGTGCAGTGATTCCCTTAAGAACGGTGGCAAGAAAGATCGCAAAATGGGACAAAATTCACTTAACAACTATCTCACTTAGCAACAGAAATTTTGTGCTCATTTGTGGTTTTAAGTTAAGGACTACCTATATATCATATCAATGATAAAAGGAAATAGAACAGAAACTTGACATGTCCACAGCAGAATGCCAGGGATCAAAGGACTAACTTCACAGAACCATCTTCTCGAATCAATCTTCCAAATAAGAATGGCCTATAATATGGTGCCACCTAATAATGCTAGGAAGAATAAAATGGTTAGTGATAACTGAAGCCACTGAGATATCCAAGAAAAAAATAATTGCATTCTTCTATCCTTCTCCTGGAATACGTCATCCATTAGGCTAAGTTGCAACTGTAAAGACATATGTCTTACTTACCAGAATTGAGTAGGATGATAGATTTAAGGCATACAAATTCTTCCCCCTGGACGTTCATCATTCGAAAGCGAGAAGAAGTGGCCAGCAGCATGTCAAATATTTCTACCATGCCTTCAACGCATTTTCCTTGATTCCTGCAAGAACAAATAACAATCTAAGTGGTATGTGTGTGTTCAACAAAGAGAGCTGAAATATTCATGGGCCATTTGTCCAAACCCAACAACTTTAAAGCTTGTGGACTTCAACTCCCAGAATTCCTCAGCCAGCCTCCTTTCCCAGTTCATTCATAACCATTCCCATGCTGACATTTGAATTTGGATACAGATGTTGGATAAGGTAAAAAACTAGATTACAGAACACTATGGGATATAAACATGCAGTTCATAAGTGCAACCATCTATTTTGAAGTTCCCTTGATTCCAATACTGTAATCCAAATACATATATTTGAGAAAACTCAATTTTCATTTCAAAATTCCAAATACCGAATAACATCTATACAAATAATACCAATTTAATGTTTGAATTATTATGTACTCTTCCTATTCTACACATAAATAAGCTCACTGTTTAACTGCTATAGAAATTATCAGATATTTTTCCCTCCAACTATCCTGTCTACAAGACCAGGCTGGAAATTTACAGCATTGCAAAGGCTTTCAGTATTAATCCTGACCACATAGCTGAGATAAAGCCACATGGTTATTAAGTCCCAAAAAATGCATTTAAAAATGCTTTTATAGATTGCTATATATAGAAGATTGCTTAGAAGGAATTTCAGCCACATGTCCTATATAACTTAGCTTTCCTCTTTTGCTTTCAAATCTTGGTTCAAAAATTTCTAAGGAGGCCTATTTAGTGATGTCTCAGTACAACACCTACTGTGAGATGGTAAATCACATCATACAGTCAGAGGCAGACAGTTCATCCAAGTGACTGAATGCCTTTTCTTATACAAAAATAAATAGACATATTTTAAGTGTGTGGTTAGAGAAGTTTTACAAATAGTTTCTTTCCAAAAAAAGGGGATGATTAACAGCATTATTTATGACTGCTGCTTAGACTTCTGAGCAAATATTCAAGTAAGTAGTCAGCCAATATCTTAATGTTCCTGAAAAAAGTACATTTTTAAAAAAGACTGAAAACAATCCTTATAGTAAATCAATCCCTTTGGAAGGTGTTTCTGCTGCTTCAGGGAGTGGCAACATTTCTGTTGAGTCTTCCAACTAGACCTTATTCTGGTAAATGGTAAAGAAAGTCTGCAAAATACGATCCAAAGGACAGAGACTGTGTCTGTGTGACCCAGTAACCAGGGAATTGGGTTAGGGTTTTCACTCCCCAGTCTCTCAAAAGCAGTGTGAGTCTGATCCTTGAATAGATTCACTTTTGCCTACTTGGGTGCCTGAGAACAAAGAACAACATAATTCTTTCAATTGGTTGACAGGAGAATGTGGGGAAAAAAAACCTGTAAGCTTTAATCAGTGGTCTGCCTTGCCTATGCCCTGAAAGGATGGTAAAAAGATGCACGTCAACAATTTTGCAACAAGATGATTGTTATTATACTGCCACTCCCCGCTGTTTGTTGCCATTAGGATAGGAGATTGGGTTAATTTAGGATTGGTGACTTTCACTGCTTTCAGATTCTTGCTAGTCTAGATGTATCAATTTCACGTATGAAATTGACAATGATTTCCTCTACTTTTCAGAAGGGGATCAGCCAGTTGCAAAAGGAGGGTTACTGTTCCAGTGGAGTTTTTTTCCCCCTGTGATTTTGGTCCCAAAAAGAAGAGTAATTGATGCCTTTGGTTCAGGAGCTAAGTAGCAAGAGCTCTCACCAACTGGGAAGCCAGATTACCACCAAATACAAGATTTCAAATTCTGCAAAAGAAAAGATTGGCTTTACTTGGACTTTCAAATATATTGTTGACAAGCATATAGCTTTTGGACCTATGTGGAAGCTACTTGAAATTGGGTTCAGTTATTTATTTATTTGTCAAGAAAGTATTAGATAACAGGTATAAGTATAAGCATGATTATAAATACATGAAATGGATACGAATAAAAAGAAACAATAGGACACGGACAGTAGGCATTATTATTATTATTATTATTGTTATTATTGTTATTATTGTTATTATTATTGTTATTATTATTGTTATTATTATTAGTATTATTAGTATTAGTATTAGTATTATTAGTATTATTAGTATTATTAGTATTAGTATTAGTATTATTAGTATTAGTATTAGTATTAGTATTAGTATTAGTATTAGTATTAGTATGCACTTAGTTAGTTGCTGCCCACCCATCATGACAATGATTTTCTCCTCTTGGGATTTTTTGCATAGCCTCAAAACTTTTGCCACAAGAGTGGCAAATACAATTTAAAGAGTAAAGACGCTTAAGCAATGCTAATTGTTTTCAAAAGCAATAGATAGCCTGGGGGTGTGTGGTGGAAACAGAAGACTTGCAAACCTCTTTCTGCAGAAAGGATTTTAGAAAGTGCAATTCCAAGTTCCAAATCCAATAGTGACCAATTTTCACACCACTGCCACTGTTGGAATACCTATTAATACCTAGTAAATACCTATTATCTTCCTATTAAACAAGAAGCAGGGAGAGGAAGCATGAGATTTTGTAGAAAGTGATCTACAATGATGGACTGAATGTGGGGCAGTGGTTTTCTTTCCCCAAGAACTAGTACAGTCTAGTTTTATTTCTTTGGCAGTTCATATGGGCAGCTCATCTCAAATTAAATAGTTCAAATAAAACCTCTCTTCCCACAATGTTTTTATTTTCCTAATAAGTTGTTGGTAAATGGGAGAAGCACACTCATTCTCTTCTTTGCATTAAGAAATTAAATTACCAATACTGTGTCCTTTTAGGATTCTGGGGGTATTTTAGAGTTGGAATTAGGGGGCAAGGGCAGTGGTGGGATTCAATTTTTTTTACTACTAGTTCTCTGGGCGTGGCTTGGTGGATGTGGCAGGGGAAGGATACTTTAAAATCTCCAGTCAGAGGTGGTATTTTCCGGTTCTCCAAACTACTCAAAATTTCCGCTACGGGTTCTCCAGAACTGGTCAGAACCTGCTGAATACCATCTCTGGGCAAGGGTAATATTTTAAAGCAGGAAGTCTCTGGAAAGCAAACATCTCCCATTCCTACTTTAAAGCATTCAAACCTCCTCAGAACAGCCTGAATATGCACCCCTCAAAGTGACCATTTTATAAACAGATTTCAGTAGCATGGTTTTAGAGTGGTAGGAGGATCCAAATGCATGCTGAAGTTGCATGCAGCCTTATAAAATGAGCCACTTGGCCTGTGAGTATGTATGTAATGCATAGGTGGATATAATCTTGAGAGACTGCAATTAGTCTCTTTTTATACAGGCAACATAAAAAAAGGGTAGATTTACAGCACTGAGCAAACTGATGTGAAAATAATATGAGATTTTGGTGCCCTCAAATACTGTATAAATAGCAGGTTCATTTATCCAAGCCTCTAATCCAACTACCCATGGCTAGATAGATAAATATAGTAACAAAGCAGTTATAAAATCACTTTTCGATCTTTCTAATTCCCTAAGCTTTTGCGTAAATCTAGTGGAATTGTTGGAAGCTACAGGTGCATTCTCCTTCCATTCTTCTCTAGAAAGTCTTTTGATTTGACTATGAGAAATTAATTTTTATGCAAATATATAAATATAAAAATGAATCAGTCTGCATTAAAATCTAAATGTTTTAGGGGGAAAAATAAGTAGAATGTGATTAGTCCGTGCAATCAACAGTTTATTAGCATATGATAATGCCATAATTTGGCATTATGTTAGAAAAACATGAGAGGGTCAGTCAGACATCTTGCAAAGTTAAAAAGCTCAAAAATAACAGATGAATATGTTATAAATGGTTTAGGTAAGAGAATTCCTGGGACTTTTATCAGGTTTGCAGAAGACACCCAGTTAGGAGAAGTTGCTAATATCTTAGATAAAAAGAAGATTTAGAAGCATCTAGACTGGATTGATCACTGGCATTTAAGAATATACCTATAAAATTCTGCCTTCTAGATATGAAAAACTAAAACCCTAAGTATAGGTTGGGGGAAAAACAGATTTTGCAAATAGTGCATGTGAAAGAGATCTGGGTGTTTTGGTTAGTAAGTTCAATATGAGCCAGCAGCATGATGCAGCTAGTAAGAAGACCAATGCTATCTTGAATAACATTACCAAGAGCACAGAATTGGGGCCTCAGGGAAGGAATTGTTCCACCTTACTCTTTCCTAGTCAGATCCCACTTGCTGCACCCAATTCAGAAAAGGGCTATGAAAATAATAAAGGCCTTGTTATCTAGCCCTGTCAGGAATGGTAAAAAGATTTTCTTATATAATATATGTTTAACTGACAGAAGAGCTAACTGATGGATGATATGAGAGCAGCTGAAGGGTTGCCACATACAAGAGGGAATGTCTTTATTGCCCCAGATACACTGGCTTAAACCAGGGGTCACCAACCTTTTGGACCTCAGGGACCACCAAACTCATAATTTTAAATCCTGAGGACCACTAATATGAATTTTGACTGATGGTGGTGGCTGACATTGCTGGGAAAGTCGGTCCCATTTTCCAGAGCTGCAATAGTCACAGGACTGGCCCTTTGGTCATCCAGGAGCAGCTGCTCCTCCACCCAAGTGCACCGGCCTGCCATGGACTGGAGCAGCTGCTTCGGGATGACCAAAGGGCTAGTCCTGTGACTACTGCAGCTCTGGAATATGGGACCGACTTTCCCACCAACATCAGCAAGCCATCCAGGGGTGGATTTCCCTCCTCTACTGTTGGCCTTACCTTCCAGTTCCAGCTTGCGTGGCTCTATTCAAAGTAGGGTTTGCGCTTGGCGAAGGGTGGGGGCCAGTGGGTGGGCAGGCCATGTGAGCGGTGCAGCCTTGTGTTCCTGCACAGCCTGGATTAATTGCTTTGGGGGGTGCTTTGGGGGGACATTTCTCTGTGGACCACCAAAATTTTCTCTTGGACCATCAGTGGTCCATGGCCCACCAGTTGGTGACCACTGGCTACAGCAAACTACAGCAAAATTGGTTCAGGTCCAATATGAAAAACAAACAAACCACCATCCAGATTGTATAAGT